AGAAGGCTCATTATGCAACAAGGGATCCAATAACAGGATTGAAGAAATACCTGATTGAAAACAAATTGGCAAGTGAAGCAGATTTAAAGGCAATAGAGAAGAAGATAGATGAGGTGGTTGAGGAAGCTGTGGAGTTTGCAGATGAAAGCCCTGCTCCTTCAAGAAGCCAACTGCTGGAAAATGTGTTTGCAGATCCAAGAGGGTTTGGAATTGGACCTGATGGAAGTTACAGGTGTGAGGATCCTAAGTTTACTGAAGGCACTGCTCAGGTCTAGTCTATTGCTAAGCTTTTGTTTCTTTTCTTCTCATGTTGTCCATCTTTTTATTATTATTATTATGAACTGTTATTCAGATTGGTGATCAAGTTATTACATAAGAGTTATATATGATTCTGTTTTTGTTTTGATGTGTATGAAATTTTGTGGCCTCATCTTTGCTAAAGATATTTGATTCGCCTTTTTCAAAGGATTTAGAGACTTATGTCTCTGAAAATCTGAAAAGAACACCAGAGAATTGTATATTTAGGAAAAGAAGGATGGAGGGTATTTGTTGGGAGAAATGGTAAAATGGTCATTTATTTTGATACTATCTGGAAACAATAGTTGGTTCATAATTTTCAAAGTATAATGTCTTGATAAGAAACGAAAGAAAGTACAATGTTGTAATTGGGTAGACAGAAATTCCCATTTTATTAATTCTTGATTCGTTGTTTATATGGTTGGAAACATGTTTTTGGTAGTAACAAAGGGAATGGTGACAATTAAGAAGATTGAGTAAGCCTTATGTTTGGTCAAAATTGAGGATTGTGGTGAGAGATTATTGGTTGTGCTTGTGCATCAACTATATCTTGAATGAAACCAAGAAAAGAAAGTTAGTGAGTTAACTTAAGTGTAAAAGATCCATGACTGATGAGTGAATAGTCCGATTGGGGTGTGGATTACTTTCCCCAAATCCAGGAAGATCATAAGTTACCAATCGAACACGAAATTCCTAAAGGAGTGATGATTTAGTGAATGGGATTCCCGACAAATAAGAGTTATCTTATGACCATTGGTTTTGTTTATCTAATTTAACAACACAGAGAAGAGAGAAACGCGTGAGGTGGGATTAGTGAATATCTAGCTTATTCAGAAAGAGCTCCTTGTTCATGATATGAGATGCTTATACCTTTGGGAAGTAACATACGATTTGCGCAGGGAGGATGTGACTGAACAAGTGGTATTGGAGTTTTTTCGTGTTCAATGTTGAAACCTAGAACTGTAGAGAAGAATGTAGAGAATTTTTTAATATTTTTTTATTAATTACACGTGGATGTCACATCAGCGCCACATAGATGAAAGTGGTCAGAAATTGGGATAGACTATAGTAGGCGGGTAACCTACTATAGTCTATCCCAATGGCTAAAAGGTGACTATTTTAAGACTTTAAGGGTTTAATTAGCATGATTTATACTTAGATGACTAAAGACTTTGATGTGCCATGATAACTTAACATTACGTTTTGTAAAGGAATATTTTCATGCCAAAATTACAACGATAATGATAATAGCTAAAACCTTCTGAATATATCTACAAAATTTACATTTTGTAAACAAATATGACCCCACCCTATATCACATTTCATCTACTACCATTGCAAACTTCTAATGTAAATACGTAATCGGTTCATACCAAACTTTCAAACTCATATTACCAAACCTTCTAACTCATATGAAAATATAAACTTATATTTCGTGGTAAAAATGTCTTCATTCACTTCTCCACATAGGGACTTTCTGAAAATGGCCTATAAGTTCAACCGCACATGCAATTCTACATCTAACGATAGACTTAAAGCCCGAAGGATAATTGATGAGATGAAGGTGACTATAATGAAAAAAATAAATAAATAAGTTGAGAGATACTTTTTCAATGTTCGTGTAACAAGGGATATGATGGGTTATACATAATCTCAAATCGAGGAAATGAAAAATTGATAAAAGATGCACAAAAGGAAATCATGAAAAATGAACAATAGATACCAGATTTCTGAATATTTGTTTCAGAGTAAGAGCATGATGTATGGGGCGAGACGATGGAGATGGATGGTAAACAAACATGAATTAATAGGCAGAAAAACCGTACGGATTTTCAATATGATATATTGTAGATGATTAGCAGTATTATGTGTTTTATTTAATTTTTCTTTAATATATTAATATTATATAATGATTTTTCTTAGTAATTAAGCGTGGTATAACAAACATACCATATAATGGTGTTCGTGTGTGTGTATATTTATCATCCGACCGATCAATTTCAATATCACTTTTCTCAAGATCGGTGTTATCTTTTTATACAAAATCTATTGTTTCGCCATAAAGAAATAGATTGGTATCATCCACCAATGGAAGTACTTATTGGTAGTATGCATCATCATCTTTATCAACATATGTACTATCATCTTTACCAACATCGTTGTCATGTGTAAGAACAACATTGTCACATGTAGCAACATCATCTTTATCATCATTAACGTACTTATAAGTTTATGGTTGACATAATGATTTGTCCTTGTACCAGTGTTTCGTATACAACTATTTATGAATTTATGGTTGTACCATATCGACTTAATGAAACTGTGGTTGAACTGGTGTTTCATATAAAAACGTCCAAGGGGATATTGAGAAACCATTTGATAGATAAAAATACATGTTTGATTGTTGCTACCTCTTATACTAGATTGGTTATCACAAGAGCCGTTTTCTCTCCCACTAAATCGTTTCTTAGTGGAGCTTTTCCATTAGATTGGTTCCTACTAAAATTTTGTTCATTCGTTGCATTGTATTGAACAGAGTCTCTTCCACCGAAACACTATCTACCGGATACACATGTACAACAATTCAGACTTTATGAATAACCTTTTTAAAAGTGTTTCACATCACCCGCATCGACTATATCTATAATATATGTCAATATAAGATGTTGGAAAGACAAACTGATATTAGATCCGCCTTACATACCCTTCTTCAATTCGACCAAAATTAATAAATCAGGAAAATTTATATCTATGCAAATATTCTCACCGTAGTTTTTAACAAAAGGCCTAACGTATTGTGTTTCACAATGTATTTACGACCGTGAACAACCAATACAAGAAACAACAAAATAGTCATTTGTAAAATTTGAAGTCATGTTCTTTTTCTAGAGAAATGATATCAGACAAATTTTTATTGAATTTTTTTATGTTTCAAAAGTAGAACTTATAAAATAACAATTACTAATACTCTTTAGATTCACAGTTCGAATGATGTCAAATTTTGCAATACGAATAACAGGAAAATACATGATTTTGTAAGAAAAACTAGAATTTCTCGAATGACATGCGAAATTGAAGTTGACAACTAAGACATACCTTTTTATAGATGGCGTCTGCGATTCCGCAGATGTCAATGTTCCCATATAATTTTCGTTAGGGGTGAGCGTGGTGCGGTTCGGTGCGGTTATTAGCCAAAACCTCACCACTAACCGCAAATGCGGTTAATCCATTTTCAAAACCGTTTGGTGCAGTTATTTTTGCGGTGCGGTTAGTTTTGCGGTGCGGTTTTGTTTTTTTTTTGTGTTGCGATTATTAACCGCATGGATTTGGTGCGGTTATTTTGTGTGGTTTTTAACCACAATTTAGAGCTCAAACGATTTTAAGAGTTCAAACATATTATTTATAATAATAAAAAAACTATAAGGTATAAGACAATTAACTTAAATCTCAAACAACTAATATCTTAAAAACGTCAAATCAATAGTAATTAAAAATAAAAATCTTAAAATTGTTTAATTTCACAATTTTTTAAAGTTAAACATAACAAAAAACCAACACTTTTGTCTTCTAGTATTTTATCCATATTTCATCCATGAAACTTGTTTTATTTTTAATATTTAATATATTAATAATTAATAAAAAAAATTGTATATAATATATGTGGTGCGGTGCGGTTTTTTGCGGTTTTTGAAAACTAATAACTGCACCGCACCGCAAATTTGCGGTTTTTGAAGAACAGAAAACCTCACCATCGGTTTTTATTGCGGTTGCGGTTTATCGGTTGCAGTTTATGCGGTTTTTGTGGTTAATTTTAGTTGCGGTGCGGTTTTTGCTCACCCCTGATTTTCGTAGATGTCATCTACGAAATCCTCTCTCCTACAACAAAAAATCCATTTGTTTTCCGCCCTTATATGTTAAAACACATTTTCGCAGATGATACTATCATTTCACAGAGGGACTACCAATATTGCATATGCCATTTACAAAATTGATATACGAAATTGATGACTATTTTAATGATTTGGTTAACTTTTTACTATTTCTTATAAAATGGTAAATAGATTTACACGTCTTTTTCTCTTGATTAAAAAAACCGTCCAAAAATTCCAAAATACAGACTATTCATTTGTTTGTTACTCTTTAATTACAATTTACAATTAGGCCATGGACGCATTTCCACGCGTAGGAATCCCATGTGGATCCTAGGTGCATGAGATGTTCACTAGTGAACACCACCCCCGATGGGAGTAATGGTGGTGTGGATTGAAGCCAATTATGGGTTCTCACAGCCAATCAAAAACCGTTTCTCTCTATCTCTCTTCTGACTCTCTTGTTCACCAGTGAACACCACCCCAACAATAATAAATGGGTTGTGAAGATGTATGATGATGATGTGGAATAGCTTTCAGCGTCTTGATACCCCATGGCCTTATAGAGGTCCAAACTAAAGAACTACAATTAGACCAGCTAAAGCCTAAAGGTCTAAGTACTGCTTCACATGGGAATTTAATTAAAAATGATAAAATTTGAACTTTTTAGTACAAATTTCTTTATTATATTACACTTCTGCCCTTTTTTTTGTCCAATTTGTCTTTATGTGGCAATTTCTTTTTTGATTCCTTATGCTTTTCCAAGTGCTCTGAACATGTCTTAAAAGAATCGGATCAACTAGGAATCAAAATATACTTTAGAAAATACATCATCTCCACATCGTCCATAGATCAAATGTTCAAGTTCTGATTAAAACTCGAACATACATATGACTTATCTTGTACCTAAATTAAAAATTTAGAACACACATTCTCTAAAGCATTAGCCTCTTTACATTGTTCACCACCTCAGGACTATTTGCATGGTTATAAACCGACTCAAATGCATGTGTCCACACATTAGCAAAACCCGTAACAGCTTGAAAAACATGCGGTAATCCAATTTGCATGTTACTCAAAGTCATCGCTCTTGTCACACCAATTAATTTCTCAAATTTGCCCCTCTCTTCTTCCGTTTTTGCCCTCAACAACTCCACTTTGGCCCGTTTATCCCCAACCGGGTCCTTCCCGTTAGAGGACCCAGAGAACGGGCCAAACTTCCGTTCAAGAGCCCGAAGCTCCCCCATTTTTTTCTCGAGCTCCTTAAATGACGATTCTGACCTTTTCTTTTGCTTCTGCTCTTCCGCCTGTTGAACTACTATGGCATGTATGGCAGTTAGCAATGCTTTGATGCCCTCAGAGGCGACTTTGTCAGGGGCATTATCGACCACGAGATGCCATTCTTCACAAAGGGTGTAGATAGCGGAATCTTGTTTGGTTTGGGTTAACGGGGTTTTGCCAAATTGAAAGAGGCTGAGTCTGAGCCAACCAGTCAAAGAATGGACATAGTCTCGTTGACTTTTTATAAGGTTGCAGAAGGATATGTGCCATTGTTGGACCTCGAGCTCCAGCTGGAGGACAGCCTGGCGGTGGATCTCGGAAGTGGGGTCCGTTGATGGGATGATGTGGAGGTATTTGAGTTGTTGGACTATGTGCATTTGGACTTGGTGGCTTTCGTATAAACTTCTCCACATGCCCATTAATCTGCATGAACATAAAATGTGTGGTTTCGGTTATTGGGGCGTTTTGGTCTTTTTGCACGCCTATAAAATGTGCTATCAAACATTCAAAAGATACTAACCCTTTAACAAGCTCAACAAGTTGGGGATAAAGCTCTTCTTCCCGGAGTTTGACTATTTCATCAGAGGTTGACTCAATCGATTGAGAAGAAACCATCATTCTTGACTCCAATTTCTCGACCTCTTTCTTGGCTTTTTCAGTCTTCATATAATCGGCTCTCTTAATCTCCATTTTCCTTAATTGTTCTGCCCTCTTTGCATGCTCCAACTTTAAACTTTCCACACTCTAATTATTACCCCAAACAACAATCACATAATTTAGTCTACCTTGTTCTCGTTGTAAGGGAGAAAATGGTAAATTCACACATTTACCTTAACCTCTTGGCACAGCTTCTTCTCCCATGCATATAGTCTCTCCACCGTAGAACAATGGCTTCCGGAAATAAGACCACCACCAATTGCACTAACTCCTGCCATGTCATCACAACCGAACTTTCCAAACATGTTTAACTTCTGGGATGAGCTCCATGAGCTGAATAATGGGCTCAAGTTCTTTCCATACCCATGGACTTTACCTATAAAAGAACAGAAACATGAGAAAAAATGAAAAGAATCAAACACTTTAAGTGTATTTAATTGGTGAAGTTCTACAACAAAGTCTTAGGCTCCTTTTATAGGTGTCTTGGACTTCTTTTGACCATTATTTGATTCGTTTGATTGTAAACTATGATTTTTTAGGTTACTTATTTGACTCGCTAAACATAAAATATAACATAAATTGATCTATTATCAAATAAAACATGAGTATGAGATTGATCTATCATCATTTACCTCAGTTTAATTTCATTAAATTTATTTGTAAAATAATTGCAAGTATCACAAAATAATTACAATTTACACCTTCCAATCCACATGTGAACTTTAATAATAGTTTTAAACATGTTACAGTTTCAAGCAGACAAAAGAACACACGTGTGCACATGTTGAATACTCATCACATCAGTATCTTGGACACATGCTTCGAGATTTGTTAAATTAAATCTGGAATTAATTATTTTAATTCTGGGGTGACTGTGATTCAAATTACCTGATGATCCTTGGCCGGGAAAGGTACATGCCGGAACTTCTAACAATGCCGACAGTTTTCCGCCGGAATCTGCAGCCTGGAGGAAGTATTCATCAAGTTCTTTGATGATCCCCATCAGGTCTTTGATTTTCGTCGACACTACTACTGCCATCTCGCTTGTGGTGGCGGTGGAAGCAGAGATCTTGGAGAACCCGCTGACGGCGGAAGGCGGCGCGGCTACGCTCGCTGCGCCAACGGTGGTTGTCACCGCTGTTTCCGAGGCAATGGTTGTGGATGTTTCTTCCCATTCTTCGTCGTCTACAGTTCCTGACCTAGTGGACGACGGCATGAACGGGTCCCAAAAATCCCATGTAGAGGAAGGCGGCGGTGGCGGGGGAGGAAGTGGAGTGGAAGCGGTGTTGGTGGTGGATGTTGTCCATGTTTCGGAGGTTGGACTCATGGGAGGAGGAGGAGGCGGCGGCTGTGGTGTAGGTGTTTGTGGAGGAGGAGGTGAAGGTAGGGTAGGTGGCAAATGGTGGTCTTGAGGGTGGTGGAGGGCAGTTTCGGCGGTGGCGAACTGTAGGAGGGCGGAGCCGGTGCTTCTTAAAGACCTTAAATACATGCTATGTGAAGCAGAAAAAGCATGTCTTGCTTTTACAAACTGTTTCATATATCTTTTTCTTGCTTTGCACCTTGAAACCATTTCCTCTTTCTCTAATCTTGAATAACAACACCCCATTTCAACTCTCTCTCTACTTTCTCTCGTTAAAATTCTTCGAGATTTCAATTAAATCCCATCTGGGTTTTTCTTGATTCTTCAAGAACATAAAAATAACCCAAAATCTTGATCATTTTCCATGAAATCGCATCTGGGTGCAGACTTTCTCTCTCTGGATATTGAGGTGGCAAAAAGACAAGTTTTGCAAAAGTACACACTCTTCTTGTATATATCCACCACTTTCTCTCTCAAGATGTTTGACTGTGAAGAGTAATGTAGTGGGGGAGAAGAGGTGGAAGAAGACAAGTCTTGAGAAGTACAGCAGAGAGGGCACAAAGAGAGTTGGGCAGAGTGCAAAGGAGGAGTGTTATATTTTTGTAAACAAATTTTAGTGACCATAATGCCCCTATAAGAGGTGAAATATTACTATATACCCCTGGGTAATTGCACATAACGTTTGATCTTCCTAATTAACTGTTTCACATTTTATTTTGAGCAAGTTACATTTTGGTCCCTTTGGTTTGTTGTAATTTACATTTTTAGTTAACTTTTGAATTTAGATATGGTTGGTCCTTGTGGTTTTCAAATCTTGCAACAAAGGTCCGTGGGGCAGTTACCATCTATAATGCTAAGTTAAGTGCGGGTAAAAGACTTTTTGAGTAAAACTGGTAAAAATATACTTTATGGACCAATTTCTGAAATTTGTTTGGAAAACTGAAAACTAATACCATAACTCTAGGGTAGCAGCCTTCAATGACTTCTATGTTCTCCCTATTCATCTCCATCCCACAATCATCTCCTACATCTTAAGGGCAACTCCCTCCTCAACCTCTTTACTCTGTGTGCAAAAACAAAATCAAAATATTTCGTTTGTAAGTGGCGATAAAGTTGAAATATCCAACACTGAAATAAGGTCCGAAAAGAATATTACTACCCAGTCAATATCATCTCTGATATATGTGATGAAAAGTTTATCATTAAGTATCATACCATTCTCACTGATAATGGTTTAGAGCCCTCTGAAAGGTTGTCTCAATGGAAAAAATTAGGTCGACTCTTTCTGAAATTCTGATGAGTAAGTTTTGTGTGGGAGATATCATAGACACAAACTATATGAATGGGTGGTGGATGGGGAAGATTGTAACGCCCCGATTCTCAAAGCATTAATTTATGGTTTTAATTTTCATGATTTTAAGGTCTACTCAACGAGTTGGTTGCCCTGACTCGTCGAGTAGCAGTGGGTTGGTCCACGTGTTTAAGTGACCTACTCGTCGAGTCCAAGAAGGGACTCGACGAGTAGGAGCTGGAGGATGAAACCCTAATTTCTGGGGTTTTGCACCCTATTTAAAGGATCATAAGCCTCCTTCAGCCCCCTTACAGCCTCTTGAGAGTTCAGCAAACCCTAATCCGGGTGTGTGCTTCATCCTTGTGTGTTTCAAGCTTTGGGAGGTGGATCTTTGTAAGAAGAACTTGGAGAGCAAGTGGCTAGGAGCAAAGAACATGTAGGGATCTGATATCTGCCTCAGTTGGCATCTCTTGGAAGGTATCAAGTCGTTGCCTTGATCTCATTTCCTTCCAGATCTCATTTGATTAAAGATTAGGGCTTTTCTAGCATAATAAGAAGCTATTCTTGGGTATGAGCTAAGATCTGAGGTTGTAACTTCAGATCTGAATTCTCTTTGGCCTCTAAGTCCATAAAGCTTTCAGCTTTAGCAAGTGTGAACCTTTCCTCAAGTGTAAAACTCCATTTCAAGCTTGGTTTTGTCATTATAAGACCTTAGAGCCTTGCATGCACGTAAAGTTTGCAACTTTACGTGATAAACATGCCTTGGGAAGCTAGATCTGCAATATGGAACCTTAAGACGGATTAATAAGCATATGTATGGATTTGGACTGAAGGGACTCGGCGAGTTGTATGGTCGACTCGGCGAGTCCGATGAAGATTGACGTGGGCTCGGCGAGTCAGTAGAGTGACTCGGCGAGTCAGCTAGGGTTTTCCCGACCTTTTGGCACGCATGAACTCGGCGAGTTGCAGGGAAACTCGACGGGTCGGCCAAGGAGTTTACGGCCGCAAACATTAGGAACTCGACGAGTCACTCATGTGACTCGGCGAGTTAACGAGGTATGCAAGGAACTCGACGAGTGGCTGGTTGTACTCGACGAGTTGAAGTCAACATGGACTGTTGACCTTGACCTTTGACTTGGACTTTGACCAAGGGTAGACTATTTGACTTCTAGGAGCATTTTGGGAAATTGGAAATTATGAGTATGGTTCTATGGTGAATATAGGTGGTGGAGTTTGTGACAATGATCCGAGAGTGGAGCTTATCATTTCAGCTCGCCAGTTGCGAGGTGAGTTATCCCCACTGTACTCAAGGGTTTAAGGCACCAAGGCCGGCCCTTTGATTTGTTATTGGAATTATTACTGTTATGATATGTTAGCACGGTATCCTGGTAGATAGGATGGTTATATGTTGTTATGACATGTTAGCTCGGTATCCTGGTAGATAGGATGGTTATATGTTGTTATGATAAGTTAGCGCGGTATCCTGGTAGATAGGATGGTTATTGTGACATCCCCAATTTCACGGCCAGAAAAGACCGATTTAATTTATGTTTTTAAAATAAAATCAGAGTAATCCTTTGATTAAAAGAGTTGCGGAATTTGTTTCCAAAACAAAATATGATAAAAGTTTATCAAAGCATTTCTTAAAGAAATGAATTTTCATTATATTATAAAACCTCGGGATGTCATGTTCCGATACATACCAGAAGCATAAACAGTACCATAAAGGCCTTACAACATTTATTTATATCTACTGGCCTATAATCCAAAATCCCTCGTCATCGTCCAACTATGCTCTTGTTCCACTACCTGTAATACAGAAAATCTGAGTGAGTCAGGCTTGGGAGCCTGGTGAGTATATAGGGTTTTCAACCCACAATAAGTAAATTTATTATGTTTAAATATCAAACAACTAACCAAATTTTCCCATCCCCATTATCTTCTTTATTCTCAAATATCTTAATAATCATATGTCCTCCATTCGTTCATTCCTAAGGATTCTCCTAAGGAGATTACCCGTTCCCGTATTCCTCACTTTACGTCCCTAAAGTATCTATTTATAAGGGACCTAGTCTAAGGATTTTTTAATGGGGCGACAACTCTGCTTCGGGGTTTCCTTAGCAATTTATGTCAAATAGGACAACCATCGGAGTGACAACATTGTTTTCCCCAGCAATTTATGTCGAATAGACAACCAAAGGGGTGACAACATTGCTTTCCTCTGCAATTTATGTCAAATAGGCACGAAGTACATCGTCGCCAGGGTTTATACAACAGGCACTAATTCCATAGCTACCAATATTCATCTATACAATACTAAATCCATACTCTCAACGTACATCTATAAGGCACTAAATCCATAACTTCCAACGTACATCTATAAGGCACTAAATCTATAGCTGCCAATATAATCCTTTAGGCGCAGCTGCCAGGATATTTAGATTACAACTAGTGAACACTTAAATCAAAATACTTGGTAAACACTCCGTTTGGAAATACTTAATGAACACCTACTTCAAACAATGTGATAATAATGTATATCTAAATCCTGCAAGACCACTATTATTATTAACACATATATATCATATTTCTAAAACAATCTATCCCATCCCGTCGATCCCCACATACTAACCCTATACAATGATCTTACAAGATCTAGCCTAAGGAATCAATATGAACAACAAACTGACGAAGCTGCGTCGGAAATTCCCTGGCAGCAAACGAGGATCAATAAAGACATCAAATGAAGGGAATGGAATAAGTTTCACCACGAACCTTCGTTCGTAAAAGAAAGAACCACAAGACAATTAAGTCAGGGGTAGTTATCTAGATAACAATGCCTAGTCGTGGTCCGAATATCGTGAGGTATTTTACCCCCAGACTCACCCTATCCAACATCGAACTTTGCCTAGCAGTGGTCTGAATATCGTGAGGTATTTTACCCCCAGACTCACCCTATCCAGCATCGAACTTTGCCTAGTAGTGGTCTGAATATCGTGAGGTATTTTACCCCCAGACTCACCCTATCCAGCAATATAACACCAGACATACCTAGTAGTGATCTATTACCTATACACTTTATTAGGCAGTCTACGAAGTTCCCTTAATTACTTCGTGAAAGGAAACGCTGACATATGAAGCTCGTCCGATCACTTCATAAAAGAAACGCTGACTCCAAAACTCTTTCAAAATAAAAAGTTTGGGGAAATACTAATAGAGTGCTCCCGTAACCGACACACAATAGTGTCAAAAAGACTTTGTACATGATAGTACTTCTGGCACATTATAGTACTCTGGTATGCGTAGGACTCGTACCCGAGAACATAATAATACCCCGACACAGGCAGCACCTAAGACACAGAGCTTTGAAAAGGACTTTGTACACAAAATGTACTTCTGTACGTTGGACGTACTCCATCGATCATCAATCTCACCACACACGTACTCTTAATAAGAGGCTACCCAATGTCCAAACTTAATTGAACTAAACATCCCTTTTTAAGTCTTAACCCATCACTAGGCAAACCTACAATGCTTATAATCAATTTTCGATACTATCTCCGTTTAGGCAACGCTAACTAGTGTATACTTAACACAAAGTTTTAAGTAATAATATCATATATACACATCTTAACACATATTGGACCATAATTGGTTCGCACGTTGTATATCATCAAATATATATCTAACACGTATTTCGGGCAATAACAAATATTTCACATACATATATATCTAATACTTTAATCAATACTTGTGTTAAAATCATGTCCATGAAAGGGACTATGCACATGATACCTTATCGGATGAACACATAGTTCCAAAAATACATAATCCGTACTCCCGGATCTAAAATTTACCTCCTTACCTAATCCATATTCCCGGATCGGGTATGTCTGATCTATCTTAATAAACAAACAATATATATACACATAGCACATATTTTATAAAATACTTCATATCTATGTGTAAGATGAAAGTGACTATACACTCACTTGATTAGACGATGCTCGGACAGCACTACGGCTCTTCAAGTACTATTCTTTTGATGTAACCGGGATATCTTCACACACCGGGCTTCTCGCGGGCAGAGCTTCGGCTTGAAACTCTTTTTTCTCGGGATCTTCGGAGCTTCGGGACTTGCTTCGGGTATCGGGAATGATATCGGGACTTCGGGGGGCTAAAAGTAGGCTTAATGATGAGAAAAGTAGGAGAGAGGTTGAGAAATTAGCATCCAAAACCGGCTGCCTTTGATTTCTATTTATAGGGCTGAATTTCGCTAT